GCCAACGCTACGAAGTCATCATCAACGCCACCCAACCTTACGGCAAACTATTGGTTCCGCGTCGGCACCGGCGGCGCCTGCGACGGACCAAACGCAAACGCCGCAAATATCCGTAGTATCTTCCGTTATGCAGGCGCGGATAGCGATGAGGAGCCCAGTGACGATATCGCCATTGTACTACCATCGGGTTGCTACGATCAACCAAACATTGTACCCTATTCCAAAACAACAATCCCTCAGTCCCTGCCTGAAAGCTTATCCTTGGGGTTCAGCGACAATTACACGACGGATGTGACGCAATCGCGCGGCCTAGTCCAATGGCTTGTAAACGGGAATCCCATGGCTGTTAACTTGCAAGTGCCTACACTACAGTCCGTTCTTGACGGAAACGTGAAGACGGGGAATAACAGCCATACCTTTGAGATTGACGAGAAGAGCAAGGTAAGCCCTCTGACACACTAACCTATTTCTTTCTCCCTCGAATCAATCCTAACAAACGTAACCGCTGCAGTGGCAATACTGGATCCTCCAACAATCCCCCACCTCCCCCCCAATCCCCCACCCCATCCACCTCCACGGCCACGACTTCTACATCCTTGCCCAAGTCGCAAACGCCACCTGGAACGGCGACATCTCGGCCCTCCAAACCAACAACCCCGTGCGTCGCGACACTGCCAATCTGCCCGCCGCCGGCTACGTCGTCCTGGCCTTCGCATCCGATAATCCGGGTGCCTGGCTCATGCACTGCCATATCCCGTTCCATGTGGCAGCGGGACTCGGCGTCCAGTTTCTGGAGAGAAAGGCGGAGATCGCTGCCAAGGATGGGTTTGAGGAGATGGGTAGGGGGTGTGGGAAATGGGGGAATTATATGGAGAGGACGCATCCGGGGGGGATTTTGTTTCCGGGGGATTCGGGGCTTTGATGTGGGCTGTGTGGAGAGGGGGGAGGTAGGGGTTCGTTCTGTATTTTCAGTGTTTTTGCCTATATGATATCCTATATCTCTTTTTTTTGTTCAATGTACGGGATCGAGAATGTGTGGTTGTGGTTGTCGATGTTGATGTATCGGGGGTTGATTGGGTGAGCTTCATGCGTATACTGTTGGAGTTCTTGTTTATACAGCTACTTGCGAGTAATCGTAATGATAATTTAACGATATATTTGGTACAGAATCCTGCTCTGTCTCTGCATCATCTCTTGTCAAATACAGCTAGATGGACGTAGAAAACAAACCTAGTCGGCGAGATGGGGAATGATCAAGGTTCTTGTCTGAAGAGATACACTTTGCACATAATAAATTAGACCAGCAAAAACATCATCGGCTCAGATAAACAGTACAGAACTTAAGATATACTGAAGTGACTACTCCTATCAAATGGGTATACCACGCTACTCTTTTCGCCCCTCTCAAATAAACCATTTCCACGATCCATACAGACGACTCCCCTTCGACAGTCTATGCCGCAGATCCAGAAGCCTCAATCTCAGTCTCCGCTCTCTCCTTGCCCTTCGAGGTCCCACTCACACTCGCGTCACCCCCCATCTGCACATGAGCCTCATCTTTCTTCTCGCTATCCCGTTGCTGCTCTGCCTGAGCTTCTTCCTGTCGCCTCCTCGCTTCCTCTTCCTGCCTCTCCCTCTCTTCCTGAGCAGCCACGCGCTCCTGCCTCTCCCTCTCCTCCTGCGCATGAACCATTCTCTCTCCCACACCAGGGAAGAGACTCGCAATGAACAAAGCAAACGCACGTTCCACCGTACGCATGCTATCCCTCACCCACCCAAACCTCTGATCCCTTCTTTGCTGCAAAATTCTCTGCGCGGCCTCTTCCGGTGTCAAGTTACCCCGCTGTTGGGCGTGGTTGTTGGGCTGAGCTACGCGTTCGGCCATGGCGCCGACAGCGAGGAGTGCTTCGAAGTGGTGGCGTAGGAGATTGAACTGGTCTTGAAATACACCTACTTGTGCCAGGTAAACAATGCCGGCTACTATGCCAAGCATGATAGGCCTGTAGAGTCCACCGCCTCCAGAGAAAAAGTAGACAAATGCGGCGAGCTTGAAGATGAGCCATAAATGTCCAGCAACGTTGACCATGCGATCATTTTCTCCTGGCGGGTTTGCGTTCGCGTTAGCATCCTGGGGTTGATTCTGGTTCTGCATTTGATTCTGATTTTGTGCCTGCCCTCCAGGTGTCGGCTGTTGAGTTGGGGTTGGCTGTAGGTTGGCTAGTTGGTTTTGGAGCTGATTCGCCCCCTGTGCCATCTGATATCCGAGCCCAGCAAGAAGTTGTCTGTTTTGGGCAAACTGGTCTGAGAAAGTTTGGAATGGCAGTGTTGGTACTGTAGGAGCCATGGTGTAAGTGCCTTGGTGATCAAAGAGAATACCAACGGGTCCTTGGGGGCTAGACAATAAGAACAGCTCGGCTGGGGCATCGGCTGGCATTGATTGTGTGGTGTTTCGAGTTTGTCGTGGAAATGTCATAGGTATTGCCGGTGTCATGACAGGTGCCCCTGGGGCTACAGTTGAAGGACCGGCAGAAGGAAACCCGGTAGTCGCATTGTTGTTAAACAAGGAAAAAGTCTGAGAAGCAGAGGTGCCTGGTTGCCGGTCGAGAAGCATACTCAGTTCCAACGCATCGACTCTTAGCATGGTGGCCGAACGCCTAAGGGCAGCCGCATCTGGATCCGTAGGAAACAGGGCTAAACCCCG